CTATAATATCAAATTTATTAATTTGTAGAGTTCGCCCGAGCATATTCATTGTTGCCCGAAGCTTTAAAGTCTAGATCAGCTGATTTTATATAATGTGATAATTCAGTTATATATGATCGGCAAAATGATCGACATGTGATATAAACATATCCGCTATGCTACAGTGAATAATGTTGAATAAGTAGTAAAAAATCCATTAAAAATAGCTTTAATATTGCTATTGGCTATAATAAAAGAAGTAAATGATTGTATTATAATGAATTATTTTTAAAATTTCATTTTAAAGAATTATCTGATATTCAAGAAGTAAACTAAAAAAAGTATTAGCAGTTTTGATATTTTAAAGAAATAAATACTTTGATTTTAAGGCTTTAATATCTAAACATTTATCATCATACATTAAAAATATTTGTATAAAATATTTAAAAAATTTTTAATGAGCTATTTCAGAATGTTATATCTGATAAATCTATAGTAATAGAAATATTTAACAATTAGCCAATTTGTTTTTGGCAAATAAAAAATTTTTTTACTTTTTTTACTTATGAAATCTTGTATTTTCAAATATAAATGCTACAATAATTTTAATTTTAAACTTACTGATTCTTTTTAATAACAAAAATTTTGATTGAATTAACTTTACAATTTATTAAGCTTTTATGATTTAAAAATTAAATCTTATATAGTTAAATATGTTAAGTTTATATTAAAAATAAAAAAATAAAGTAAAAAATTTTTTTTTAAAGAAGATATATTTTGCTAGTCTATAACTATATATTTATTGATCAATTAAAATTAAAAACATCTTTTATTATGCAAATTTCAGAATAATTTTATATTTTAATTATTTTATACTTATCATATTTTGCTGATTTTAAGCATTACACTTTTAAGAGAAATATCAGACTAAAATTATATATAGGTGATAGGTGATGTTTAAAATTAAAATGACTTTTTTAGAAAAAAAATTTATATTTTAAATTCTTCTTTACCAAAATAAATGTTATAATTTTGTTGTAATATTATACAAAAAAAATATTAATAATAGTAAATTTACTAGTTATTACCTATTTTTTTTTGTTTATAATATTCAAAATTTAATATTCTTCATATTTTTTTTTAAAAAAAGCTTGAAGTTTTGCAATATGTAAAACTATATGATTTAAGAGTTACTAATTATAATTTTATTATCAACTATTCAATAATTTCATATTAGCAAAAAAAAGAAAAAAATCATAAATTTACAAAAGCTAAAAATTAACATATTGATATTAAAAAAAGCATATTATCCTAAAGCTGAAGTTTTTTTTAAAAATATGACTTTTGGAATTTTGAAAAGATGAAATTGTTATAACTTCTAAAATGGTTAAATTTTATATGAAAGAACTTTTAACAAAGTAATTTAATAATATTTATCCAAATGGTAAAAATTTCTTAGCTTTAGATTATTAATTTTATTGTTTTCTTAAAAAAAATGGATTTGCTTTACAATGTAAAACTAAGATTGGTCAAAAACTTTCTATTCACCTTGATGACAAACTTTTGGAATTATTGAAAAACAGAAAAAGTTTGAATATAAACTTTTTGAAATTAGAAACAAGAATGAAACACTTATTTTTTTTTTTTTTTGATATAATATGGTTGGAAATTTAACTATTGAAGAATATGATCTGAAAACTGTACAAATCCAAATGACTGGAAATGAAAAAAATATTTATATGTATTCTTAAAATTCCTGCAGATGATACAAAATTACATCCAATTGTTATTTTTAAAGTTAAAAAAGTATCAAAAATATACCTTCTGAAATTATTGCATTAATGCATATAAAATGAATGGATGGATGAGTCTGGAATGAAAATTTGGTTTAATAAAGTTATGGAAAAAAAGGTCTGAAGGAAATGGTGTTAATCAAAAAAAAAAGCACTTCTTGTTATAGATAGTTTTGAAAGTCATAAAACAAATATTATCAAAATATTGCACATAACTGATTCTAAAATCGATTTAATACATTCGTTACTTGAATATTTTTGGAAACAATCAACAATTTTCATATGATAAATTTATTCTATTTATTGGAACCCTTTGGGCAATTTAAAATTAATTACATGCAAATCTAACTGTTTTTGTACTAACTTTCTTATCTAGCAAATAAAATTCGTACTTCTAAATTTTTTAGATGATTTATTATTATTTTCTTAATTAGTTTTTTTTTTTTTTATAAATACGTAAACGAAAATTTTTTAAATTCTTTTTTTCTTAATGGGTGGTTGTAATGGTTGTAATGCACTAAATCCATCTTGCGCACGTCTCACCCATTGAGATTTTTCTTTTGGACACGGATTCATTTTCTCTCGAGCAGCATTTCGAGTAATTCTCCTCGTTGGCTTTAGATAGGCTCTATCGTTGATCGGACGAGCTCTTCGAGGGGCAACTTCTTCCTCATCATTGGTTCTTTCCCTCTTTTCCTTTTCCCTCTTTTCCTTCTTTGCTCTCTTTATACTATATGTAGATGAAATGACAGTAGAAAATTCGTTCTTTTGTTCTCGGTATCTTTTCTTCCTATCCCTGATACTTATAACTTCTTCAGGTATATCAGCCATCAATTCGTCGATATCTTCTTCAATCTCTTCTTCAACTGTTATTTGCATTGGAAGATGATCACTCTCTGAATCAGATTCTGATGATGGAATCGTAGATTTTGATATTGATACCGAAGAAGGTATTTTTGTATTTAATATTTTAGGTGAAGATTTACGAGCTGATTTCGAGGAACCTTGCTCCGTTGCAAGCTTCTCGGTTAATGTGCTCTCTTGCGTTAAATCATGTGCTATAACTACACTAGCGTCTTTTTCAGTACATAAACTTTCATCACAAGCGGTAATATATTCATTTGGTTTGACACTTGTAATAAAGTCATCCTTAAAATTAATAGATTCATTTGGTGTTTGCATCGATGGAATTATGGATTGATTCAATGACGCATTCAAACCAGATTGTAGTGGAGGTATGACTTTTTTAGCCTTTGAAAAATGAAGTTCCGATGAAACTTTTGCAGGCTTTGAGTAATCAGGATATGATACCGTTGGTACTAGTGGAGGCAACGTTATAGTGCCTCTTTGTAAAGTTGATTCTGTCGTTTTTGGTTTCGTTGACGTTGTGAACATTCTTCCCGAAGATCCGGTTGAGGTGACATTTGACTTTGAAAATGAAGACTCCGGTAATGATGTAGCTGTTCCAACTTGTGGTGTTGAGGTTATCTGTGAAGATGTTGAAGATGATGTTGTTGATAGTGATGTTTTGGATGGTAATGGTGAGGTTGGTCGTGGTACTTTCGTCCATACATTCGATTGGCTTTCGTTTGTTGCATAATTTGAAGGAGCAGTATCCCTACTATCCCTTATCTGTGAAAATTGCGTATTCTCAAAAAGTTCTTGCCTCGCTTTCATACTAATTGGATAAGTTGCAATCGGCCGAAACAGGGGAGGTCCGTCATCGAAGACACCCAATTCCTGAATGGTTGGTAATCGCAAGTTTTTTTTATCAAAGCCCTGAACAGAAGTTTCTGAGAAAATAATGAAAACAAAAGTTAGACACACAAGTAACGATGCTTCAAGAGTTAGTTAAGATATACTGGAGGATTATCCTCAAACGCACCCAATTTCTGTATTGCTGGTAAGCGAAGATGATCAATATTATTTTTATTCTCATTTTCAGAGCCTTGAACGAAAACTTCCGGATGCTGATGTTGATGTTCCTTTACTAGTAGAAGATAACGAAACAACATTTAAGTAACCAAAGATGAAGTTTATAGAGTTAAATAAAATAAAAAGATCTTTATAATGTTCTCACCTTGTTGTTCCGAAACTTTCATCGGTTGTGATGCTGTGGCTTTCGTAGCCCACCTCTCTCTATCATGAGGAGGTTTTGGCTGTATTTTTCTAAGTCTCCGTGTTGCAAAATTTTTATCTGAAGTGTCCTTCGAACTACTTAATAGGTCATTACTTGCTTGAATTTTGTCAGTATTTTGCCCTTCGCCTTCTAATTCTTCTGTTAATTTTCCCTTTGCAAGATTCTGTATTTCAGTTTCGACTTCAGGATTTCCAGTATTACCTGATGATCTTGAACTAGAAGAAACTTTGTCAATGGTAGAAGGAAGTCTGGCGGAACCTGAAGAAACAACGGTGCTAGAAGAAACTTCATCGGGGCTAGGAAAAACTCCATTGTGACTAGAAGAAATTGTGGTGGTTTCAGAAGGAACCACGAAGGTTTCAGAAGAAAATCTAGCGGGATCAAAAGTAGGACCAAAAGAAATTCCAGTGGGTTTATAAAAAGAAGATCCATTGTGATTCGAAGAAATTCCGGTGGGGTTAATAGAATTATAAAATCTTCCCGAGGTATCAGAAGAAATTCCGACGGGATTAAAAGGAATTGCAATGGGTGTCATTGCGTTTGGTTTATAAGCGATGGGTTTAAAAGGTATGGATATATAAGATATGGTAGGTCTTTTATATTTAGATTTAGATGTTATTTTGGACCTTGAAGAAGCTTTCGAGGAGCCAGAAGAAGTTTTCGTGAGTCTCAAAGAAATTGAGGAAGCTTTGGGCGGATTAGAGGAAACTTTTACAGGATCAGAGGAAATATTAAGGGGGTCAGAGGTTACTTCAACGCGATTAGAAGTGGTCTCAATGGTTTTAGAGACTTCAACGGTATTAGAGGGAATTTCAACAGGGTTAGAAGAAACGTTATTAGGTAGCGAGGAAACTTCAACCGGGATAGATGAAACTTCAGGTATCTCAGATATTAAGGAAACCTCAACCGGTATAGAAGGAACTTCAGGTATCACAGGTATCAAAGAAACCTCAACCGGTATAGAAGGAACTTCAGGTGTATCGGGTATCAAGGAATCCTCAACCGGTATAGAGGGAGCTTCAGATATCTCAGGTATCAAGGAAATCTCAACCGGTATAGAAGGAACTTCAGGTATCTCGGGTATCAAGGAAACTTCAACCGGGATAGAGGGAACTTCAGGTATCTCAGGTATCAAGGAAACTTCAACCGGGATAGAGGGAGCTTCAGGTATCTCAGGTATTGAGGAAACTTCAACCGGGATAGAGGGAGCTTCAGGTATCTCAGGTATTGAGGAAACTTCAACCGGGATAGAGGGAACTTCAGGTATCTCAGGTATCAAGGAAACTTCAACCGGGATAGAGGGAGCTTCAGGTATCTCAGGTATTGAGGAAACCTCAACCGAGATAGAGGGAACTTCAGGTATAGTGGACTCTTCATGTTCAGTGGAAACTTCTAGAGTAGACAAAACTTCAGCCACGTCAGAAGAATTTCCAGAGGGATTAGAAGAAACCGAAATATCCATGGGTATAAGAATCGGTTGATAAGGAAAATCAGCGGAATCAGAAGAAATTTCATCGGAGTTGGAAGGAATTTCAGTGGGATTGGAAAAGTCAACGTTGGGAATAGAAGATGTTTTCGTGGTAGTGTTCGAAAGGCCAGCATCGTAAGAGACCGCAACATCGGCGGAATCGTTTTGAGGATCGACGAGAGGAGACAACGCCGTACTTGAAGAAATTACAACATTAGGTAAGATTACGATATTTGACGTAAGTTCCATATTAGGAATCTCGTCATAAAGGTGTCGTAGCTTTTCTTTTAATTGAGGGTCTTTAATGGCACTATAATATACGGTTTCCATACGGCCAGAACGACTTCTTATTACTTCTTGTCCTGGAGGAGGGCCTCTTTTTTTACCTGGTTTACCAGGCTCACAAGGTCGTTCAACCTTTAGACAGTACGAACAGGGAATTTCACCTGAACACTTAATTTTTCGTCTTTGGCAATTTTGGCATGCCGTTGTTACCTTAAGACGGGAGCTACCGTTATTCTTTTTAGTCATAAAAAGTTTTATGTATATATGTAAAAAATAGTTATATATAAAAAAAAAAAGGTTCTCTGAGAAAAGTGTATAAATATTTCAAAAAAAAAAATTTTTTTTTTGTTTTAAAAAAATAAGGAAACCTCCTAATAAGAAGTGCAAGACAAAAAAAAATGGTGTTCAAGTAACCTTTTCAAAAAAAAAAAAAATTCAGAGACCTTCCAACAAAATAAAAATGAGTTTAAAATATTTTTCTTTTTCTTTTTTCGTATATTTTTGAAACTAACTTGAAGGTAACACGGCTAAACTTTTGGGAGGAGAGTTTTATATATAGTGAGATTTTTTAAGTTTTTGAGAAAAGGTTGGAAAGAAAAAAGATCATTTTAGAGCGGAAAAATCTCGGACTTGCTCGGAAAAACCTTGCTATTCCCAATATCAAGTTCAATCTTGGTTTAGTGAGTCAATACGCCTTATATCCTTGCACTACACTCAAACAGGAAATCCGGTTAGCGAAAGAGGAGAATATCAACTATACACAACATCATTTATTGCATATTGTACTCATAACAAAAGATGTTGATCAAATAATTTTGCAATATTAATGAATGAACAAAATTTCGGGTCGATAACGTCGGCTGGTCCTTTTTATTCCCTTTTTTTTTTTTTTTTTTTCAACTTGAACAATTTTTATTTTTTTCAGGTTCGTATCAGGACACTGAATAATTATTATTGGCCCAAAAAATGATAAAAAATTTTTTTCTTGTGATTTTTAAAGTTTGCTCATGCATGTAGAAAAAAAGATTATATATAGTAAAATAAAATAAAAAAAATTTGTTTAATTGTGTAACGAAATGGAAAGATTTCATTGAACGATGGAAAAAAAAATTTTATTTTTATTTTTATTTTTTTCTCATTACTCTTTTTTCACACAATGTGGTTTTATTATATGTAATTAATTAATTAATGATTTATTTATTTATTTGACCCGTGACCATTTTGTAAAATTTTTTTTATTTTTTTTAAAAAAGAAAGAGAATGGTGTGATTTATTTGAATGGGTTCAAAGAGAATCTCTCAATTTGATACATCATAGCACATGATTCATATTGTTGGAGAGGATGAAAATCATAAATCCCAAGAAATTTCATTCCATTCGAAGTCTCACGTATTTACACAACAAGGAAATGCTCCTTTTTTGTCGAATAACATTCACATTTGGATTGTTTACTAATATTATTGAAGATCAATCGTCATATCTCTTAAACTATTGATTACATTATCTAAGATGCATAACTAACTATCAGTCTCACCAAATAATTTGAATTTATTATATATGATGGTTTTGATTTTGATCCATTGAAATGACGAGAGAAAAAGTCGCACCACTTCACCTCAAAGAATTGTAATTTATACGTTCCCCTTTGAATAAAAAATTTACCTTCTTTCTATTTTCTCTCTATTTTATTTTATTTTTTTTTTTATAACTGTCGTTTTGGATTTCTTTTTCAAGGGGAAAAAAACGTTTTAAGAACATGTCCTGTAATTCCCATCCCTCATTTATTTGTAAATAGACAATCACTTTTAATTTACCTTTTTTTGTCCATCTTAACTATATACTGTAAATTCATAAATAACCCAAAATTTGTGTAATCATGGTTACGTATTTATGTATTATAGTAAAAAAAGCTTTGTTTATCAAAATAAAAAAACAAACATGGTAACAAATGAATTTCTCTGTGGGCATATAAAATAATAATATATATAATTTTTCTTCCTTTTTTTAAAAAAAAAGAGTTCAAAAAAAAGATTATGTTGAAGGTTGTACAAGTAGTATGGGAAAATGTTTAAAATAAATTTGAATGTCGTCAAACAGGAGTTACAGCATTATATTAAATAAATAAATGAATCCTTTTTTTTATTACTGTGATAGACTAATTTAATTTGCCCTTTTCCGAAAATACCAGAACATTTTAAGCCACTGAGACAACAACTAACTAATTCAGGATGGTAAGGCATTATATTCTTTATAAAAAAATAAAATTAAATAAAATTAATCAGATATTTGATTAAAACTATCCTGAATTATTTGAGAGTATTCTCTGATCGAGGAAATGTACCCCGGTAATTATTCTTCTCCTCACAACTTGAATTATGGAATTATTGACCAAATGAAAAGAAGAATTGATTACTTTGATCGAAAGTTTTATTGACGAAATGAAAAGTTTAAAATTAAAGAGATAAAAATTTAACAACCAAAAACTTGTGGAAGAAAATATTCATTAACCTTAATGAAATAACCCAGAGCAAAAAGAACTTTGAAATATTAACTAAAATAAATAAACAAACTTGAAACCCCTAATTGATACACATTTGATTCGAATCACGGACAATAAAATTTTGAAATCCAATAATATTTTCGTTATTTTTTTATTTATGCACCATATATGCACTCATTACTTATTCACATGTTTCTCGCTACATAAGGTTACACGATTCCTATTTCCTAAATGCTTGCGAATTTGACTATTAAGGTAAATATTAACGTTTCTAATAGTCTAGAAAACGACCGAATTTTTTGATACCTACATTTTTTCCTTGTAATTTTTCATGCCTTGTATTCCTGAATAAAGAGGAATACGATAATTTTATGTTTAATAAACGTGTGTACATACATACATGGTACAACGCATAAAACAGAATTTTTATAAACTGTCATTATATCTTTGTTTAGTATTTATAATGCATTTATTTTGTGTAACAAATATAATGCATTACCGTAAAAATTATTATCCGCGCATCACATCGGTCGGCTTGATTTGTATTGTACTTTCGATTTATTAAAGTCACTGTTATGGAAGTTTTGCGCTATTTCTTGCGTAAATCCCTCTATACTTTTTTTCAAAGTGAAATTTGATTATCATACAGAATTATAAACCGAAGTAGGAAATGATTATTTAAAGATGGTATAGATGGTATCATTTCATGATTTTCGAATTTACAACTAAAATGAAAAGTAGTTTTCGTTTGAAATTCAAAATTGGTTTTCAAATATTCGATACCGTATATATATACATTTATTTAAATAAATAATTGAATTTCTCTGTAAATTCAAGTCTTGGGTAAGTTTCTTTCGTCTTTTTTTATATATATATATATATATTAATTTTTTTTTTATTTTACTTATTTTCTTTCTAGTTATTTAATATTGAATTTCATTTTGTTTTTTGCAATTAACCCTAGATTGGGGAAAGCCTGCAGTAAATATATAGTACAAAGTACCACCTGCTTTTTTCTTTATATAGGGGTAATTTCAACCCCTGGTTGTTTAGTCTACGAGATATTAATTGTTATAAATTTTTAAGATTGTTGATTTTAGATTATCTATTCAATTGAAAAAAGGATACAAGAATTATTACATCTAAATCTACTTTGCAAATTGCAAATGGAACAAAGAAAAAAACAAATGAAAATTTAGATAATGAAAATATTTAGAAGTCAAGAATTTTTCTTAAAAATGTGATGATCATCTAAAAATGGATTTTTACCATACTAAAAAAAAAAAAAATAATAAATGAATATTTTATTTTTTCAATAAAAAAATGTTCATAGTAGTTTTGTATGAGATGTTTCACATCACGTGAACGTTTTATTAAATGGTGACTCGTAGTTTGTAAAAAATTTTCTTTTACTGTAATTAAACAATCAATTTTGCTTAAAAAAAAAAAAAATTGAATTTTCCCGTTTTAATCTATAAAATTTTATAACCTTTAGATAAGACTTTTTTTTTATCTGCCGCGAGTATTTATCGGAACATCTTTTTCATTTAAAATACTTTAATTTATTTTACTTCCCTTAAATGGTAATGATTTTTAAATAAAACTTAATAATATATATAAAATTTTCAACTTTAAAATTTTTTATTTTTTTCAATAAATTAGTAATAAATGTAAATTTTTATAATTTACATAAAATTAAAATAATAAAAATAAAGAATTTTAAAATATTTTTATTCAAAAAAATCAAAACTTAATTTCTAAATAAATATAATAAATTACTAAAATGAGATTTTATAATAAAAACAAAAATTTTTGAAATATTTAAATTATTTTTAATTATCAAATAAAATTCCTTCTAAATTTTTTAAAAAAATTTAAAGTATAATAAAAATTAAATCATTTGAACATATCATAATATTAAAATTTATTATATTTTATATTATATAAATCAGATTTATAAGCATCTATTTTGACAGGTTATTAATACATGTTTTTTTTTTAATTCTTTTATAATACATCATTTTGTGAATCATAAAGTATAAAATTGATTTAATAAATTGTAAAGTTAAACATAATGTTATGTAATAATATATAATATAAGTAAATAAATAAAACCTTTTTAAGATAAATAATGAAAATAATAAATATTTTAAGAAAAAATATATTATATTTAATAAATATATAATAATATTTTTTATGTATTAAAACTTTTAAGATTTTCAATAAATAAAATAATATTTAACATAATTAAATTATATAAGTGTTTTATAGTAAAAAAAAAAAATTATAAAAAATTAAAATTTTACTTTATAAGCTAAATATAATTTTTTTTTTTTTAGTAAAATTAGTTCAAATTTAATATTAAAAAAAAATTATTTAATGTTTTTTCCTTTCTAATTACAAATATGCATATTTAATTTAATCTAATTATTCTTAAAATAATTATAAAAATATAATTTTATTTATTAATATCTATTTATTTTAAATATAAATAAAAATATTTTGATTAATTAATGAAAAACTAAAAATTAAAAAATAAAAATAATAATAATATAAATAATAATATAATTATAATTATTAAATAAATTAATATAGTCAGACTTATTTATAATAACCTCTTTTGATCATATAATTATAATTATTAAATAAGATAAGTTTTATAATATAGGAGCTTTGCAATAAAAAGGAAGGAAACTCTAAAAAAATTTTTTTTTGAGTTAATGTTAAATCTGGACTTATTTTACAA